GCGCCCAGAAAAAATGGTAGCCGGATTATTCTGCCGGCTTACATATAATTTCATACTGATTAAATTAATGCTCAATTGTATTTCAACTAAATTAATGCGAATAAAAAATAAGTAAATGATCGCAAACATGAATCGCTTATTTTAAGTAATTTATTTAAAAAAAGTTCTTTACATCAGCCAAATTAATGTGAATGAATATAAGATACTGAATAAATGTACACAATCTTAGCGATACAAATATCATGTTTGGTTCGAGTTATTATATTTTATTGTTTAAACGAGTTTTTTTTTTTTGGCTTTTAAAAATATGACGTTCTTCATTTATAATTCTACACTGCAAATATTCTTGAAATGAAAGTAGATAAATATCACCGCGGAAAATCATCGTCCCTGCACTACGTGTACATTGTACATTTTTCAATAATTCAACTGCGTAAATAAAACCCGTTGGCAAATATAGTATTAGTATTGAACTAAATTAGAAAAACAAAGGTAAAATCTTATTTTAATCAGAAGGAAAAACACCTGCTCAAAGTTGCTGTCCGAAACACTTAAGAAGGAAAGAAACCCGCTCAAAGTTGCTGTCTGGACCACTTCAGAAGAAAAGAAAGTTGTTGTCTGGACCACTTCAGAAGGAAAGAAACCCGCTCAAAGTTGCTGTCTGGACCACCTCAGAAGGAAAGAAACCCGCTCAAAGTTGCTGTCTGGACCACTTCAGAAGGAAAGAAGCCCGCTCAAAGTTGCTGTCTGGACCACTTCAGAAGGAAAAAAACCCCCCTAGAATTAATACTTCTATCCGGATTTATATAAATAAATCCGGATATAAGTTTAAATCCAGATTTATACTATGATAAAACCGGATTAATCCGGATATAAAAAATATATCCGGATTGAGATATTAACTCTAATCCCGCTAAGAAAGAAACCCGCTCAAAGTTGTTTTCTGGAACACAAGACTACTTCAGAAGAAAAGAAAGTTGCCGTCTGGACCACTTCAGAAGGAAAGAAACCCGCTCAAAGTTGCTGTCTGGACCACTTCAGAAGGAAAGAAACCCGCTCAAAGTTGTTGTCTGGACCACTTCAGAAGGAAAGAAACCCGCTCAAAGTTGCTGTCTGGACCACTTCAGAAAGAAAGAAACCCGCTCAAAGTTGCTGCCTGGAACACTTTGGAAGGAAACCAGGAACCCCCTTGGAAGGAATCTCACCCGCACGAAGTTGTAGCCAGGAACTCCCTTGGAAGAAATCTCACCCGCACGAAGTTGTAGCCAGGAACTCCCTTGGAAGGAATCTCACCCGCACGAAGTTGTAACCAGGAACTCCCTTGGAAGGAATCTCACCCGCACGAAGTTGTAACCAGGAACCCCCTTGGAAGAAATCTCACCCGCACGAAGTTTTAACCAGGAATAACCTCCGAAGAAATCTCGCTCGCACGAAGTTGAAGCCAGGAAATCCCTTGGAAGGAATCTCATTCGCACGAAGTTGTAGCCAGGAACTACCTTGGAAGGAATCTCGCCTACACGAGGCTGGTTTCACCCGCACGTAGCCAGGAGCTCCCTTGGAAGAAATCTTACCCGCACGAAGTTGTAACCAGGAACACCCTTGGAAGAAATCTCACCCGCACGAAGTTATAGCCAGGAACTCCCTTGAAGGAATCTCACCCACACGAAGTTGTTCTTCTGGACCCAACAAAACATGTTCGTGTACTTTCGCCAAACTTTATCTGATCACCAACACGAAGTCGAATATAATTCCGTAATGATATTCGTTGTTTGTTTACTCTAGTTCCATGTGCACTATCTAAATCGTATATAAAAATATCGCCTTTTTTTGAAAATAATAAAAAAATTGCAATAATTACAGTTGCAATTAAAAATTAAAGAAAAGAAATAATATTATCTTCTTTAAAGAATTGGTCCACACCTTTATTATTAATTGAATTATAGCATGATATCGTAGCCAGGAACACCTTTGGAAAGAAGCTCACCCGCACGAAATTGTAGCCAGGAACACCCTTAGAAGGAAGCTAACCCACTCGAAGTTGTAGCCAGGAACACTTGGAAGTCACCCACTCAGATCGCCTATTCTAAACATCACCCGAAAGAGCATTGTGGGACAAAGGCTCGGACCGTCTACATAGATCGTCGTTTTCTTCATTACTTCTAAAAATATTTTTTCTGATCAGCCCACGTTTTGTTACGGTTAGCAATTAATAATCCTTTTAGCATACCAACTGGTTATAGACTTTTCTTTTTTTTTTTTAGTTTTTAATAACTGACTTCACCGGTTTCGTCTCGTACGTTTTTCGTGGGCTTCATTAAGAATTTCTTCGCTAATTTTTTATTTTTTAGAAATAATAAAAAAAAGCAATTCAAACAAATTACAATTGAACGTAATTAAACTTTCCTTCAATAGTTTCGTTATCTCGTATCTTCTCTGTCTTTTTATCATCTTTTTCATCTTTTCATCATCTAAATTACATTATTATTTTCAATTAATTTGCTTTTCATCATCTAAATTTTAATGCTTTTCGATGGTTTCACTTACCAAGTTCATCAATATAACATTTTTGAGAAAGATCGTAAGAACTAGAAGCTCTTTACGTAGTAGTTTCGAGCGTGGTTCATAGAGATTTATGGGTATCTAATTACTAATAAGTTACCTAAGTTAATTCTCCTGAAGGACGTTCTGAACTCGTTATAAAAATTTTTTTTTTTGAATGTGTATTTAAATACATCTAGATTTCTTTTTTTTTTTTGATAAAAAAAAAAGCGTGAAATAATGTCAGAAAAAGTAACTAACCCCTGAGAGATGCACCAATCAGATCTTTTCTAATAATAGAGAAAAAATTTTGAATTAGAAAAAAATTTTTGCCGATCAACATTTCGGATGCACGCTTTTTTTTTAAAAAACAGACTGGTAGCTAACTAAATATAGAAGACTTTTCAAATAGGTACTGAATAATATACTGTAAAATAAAAGTTTTATCAACAGAATTAACGGGTTCAAAAATAATCATTTCCGGTGACGTCCTTCTAAAATTAAAAGTTTTCTTTTATCACACAAAATTTCAGAATTTTTTGTATGAAACGCGTTAAATCGACTTACCGTATAGCCGCGTAATAACAGTCACACGATTTGTCACGCAGATCATGTGTGTAAAATTTTTAATAATGGGTCAAATGATTGACGTACCTAAATTTCATATGTAAAATTTAGCCAAATTTTGCTTTCTTGGCGTATTTGGCAAGAAGAAGCTGTCAGTTTAATTTCTCGTTTGAGTTTGCAACTTCTCTAGCTTTTGAAGGTTCTTCTTGTAAAATTTTAAAGGTGGTTTATAATAAAATTGAAAAGAATCATGGCCATGAAGTTGGCCAATTTTTTGACGATTTTTATTGTTTGTTTATAAGTAATGCATATCATTTCACCAAAAATAGGTGATTAGGCCATCAATTTAGTTGACGGTCCTAATTGCCTGTTTTGGTGAAATGATGTGCAACACTTATAAAACTCTTATAAACAAACAGAAAATCGTCAAAAAATTGGCCAACTTCGTGGCCATGATTCTTTTCAATTTTATTATAAACCATCTTTAAAATTTTAC